GTGTAGGGGAGGGACACTTTGGCTGTCACCAGCAGTAGGATGATTTGTGAGAAGACGTTACTGCATCTAGCTATAGGTAGGTGGGACTCTTTTTGGGCTAAGGAGTTGTGAAACAAACCAACCAAACTCTGAAGTTAATCCTTTCCTTCCTTCCTTGGGTTGTCTGCAGAGCTGTTTAGAAGCATGACGGGATGCTCAAGTGTTGTATCAGTGATTTCAGGCTTTTCTTTTTAAAAAGGAGTTTATTTAGAGACAGAAATGTATATTGCACAGGTGGACATTGGGGAGTCAAGAGGCTCAAGTAAAATTAAGGCTGAAGAGAAATCAAAGCATAAACATGCAGGGGCAGTCTTAGTGATTCTGAGGCACTGGTCGAAAATTCAGGAGGGGGCTGCAGAATCACTGCCACCACCACCACAGGGACAGTCAAGGGGTGGCCTTCACTCATTGGGAGTGGTATGCAGAGAAGTAGTAGGTGTGAAGATATCAGCATTGGTAATGAGACAGAAAACCTAGTGAGCAGTCATTCATGAAAGTTCATGCCCTGCCACAAATTTTGTTAGTCCTTAAGGTGCTACTGGACTCTCGCTGGACTCTCGCTCCCTTCCAGTAATAAAGAATGCAAGCTGTGCTGTTAGGTTTCTCCCCACCCCCCATCTGTTAGAAATGAAAAGGGAGATCTCTCCAAGTGCCATGGGACTCCATTTTTCTCTCTCTCCCTCTCTGGCATGCTCTCTCTGGCTCTTTCTTTTTCCTTCCCTCTCTTCCCCTCCCTTTCTCTCTGAAGAAGTGTGCTTGCACACAAAAGCTGGAATAAAACATTGTTGGTCTTAAACACAGTTCTCGTTCTCTCTCTCTCCCCCCCCCTTTCCTCCTCATCCCCCCTCCTTTGAAGAAGTCTGCACACACACAAAAGCTTATACCTGGAATAAAACGTTGTTGATCTTCTCAAAAGAGAAGGGGACTCCATTTCTCTCTCTCTCTCCTCCCCCCTCCCCCCCTGGAGGCGGAGAAGGAGCCCTCAGCCAATGGAGGAAAGGGAGGTTTGGCTTTCTTTCTCTCCTCTGCAAAGCAGGAAATAGGAGAAACTGGGCAAAAGCAGCTGCAATGAAGGAAGCAGGAACAGGAAGCAGCAGAGAGCCAGTTGCTCATGGGCTGGATAGGAGCCGTGCAGGGGCCAGATCTGGCCTGCGGGCCATATGGCACCCCTGCTGTAACCTAATCTATATATCTAATTCTCAACAGCACCCTCTGTGTGTGGTTACTTAGTTCAGCAGATGGGGGCACACTCTCCCCCAACAGGTGTTTCTACAGATTCAGGGGACTCCATGGGTCTGCAGAAAAATCCAAAAAGTAAAAAAGCAAACAGACTCAGGGAGGGTTAAATCCCTCCCTCCCCAAATACCTTTTGAAATGGCTGCTGCAGGGATCTACTCCGGGCCCTGCTGTGTCAGCTGTGAGACACAGACTGACTGATAGCCAGAGAGAGAGAGAGGGCAGGAAGCAAAAGCAGAACTGGAACTTGGATTGGGGAGGATTCCTCCTGCAGTATGAATAGCTAAATAGTAGGGGGTTTGGAGCCAGGCCTGGGACAAGGATTACCCGCTCCATGTTGGGAAATTCCTGGGGATTTTTGGTGAAGTCTGAGGAGTGCGGAGCTTGGGAAGGGGAGACGCCTCAGCTGGATATAATGCCACAGAGTTCACCCCATTTCTCCAGGGGGACAGATCTCTCTTGTCTGGAGTTCAGTTGTAATTCTGGGGGATCTCCAAGTCCACTGTTTTGTACATCACAGGAATTTTGGAGCCTCTTCATCCCACTGACTTGTTTGCAGAGGGAAAGTGGGAGGTTCTTCCCCTCGTATCATGCTGATTGGTTTGCCATGGCTAATCTAGAGGTAATGGGGGCCATTCCCAGGTTGTTCAAGCTAGTTGGACAGACTTTGTGGCATCTCTGCATTTATTTCCGGGATGGAAAATCTGTTTACCTACTAAGTCATCTTGCTAGCTGGCAGCCTCCTGGAGTTTGGTTATACCCACAGAGTGCAATTTCAAATGCAGAGAAAACAGATTTTTAGGAAGGAGTGACACACTGTCATCACAGTTGTTTCCCAGGCATAGCTGAGCCAATCTTCGGCAAGTTTTTAGTCCAAGCTTTGTTTGTTTTCTTGATTATTTTCATATTCATCCTTTCTTCTACCATGGAACTCAAGGCAGCATACAACGGGTTCGGAAGAAGACTCCCATTCAGGCATTGACCACACCCAGACTTCCTTAGCTTCACAAAGCTGCTCTATCATGTGTCTTCCTACCTCACTAATTGTGGATTATGACCTACCAGCTCCATTCTAAAGCTTTAAAGGACTGGAATTGAGCTTTCCTGTGGATTAGATGAGGGTCTTCAGTTGCATAGGAACATCTGGAATTGAAGGGCTGTGTAAAAGTTTAGAGGTGTTTCTTCTTAGGTTTTGTTTCTCAGTAGAATGACTGCACCTCCATCCCCAAGGTTTGTGGAGAAACTGATGCGCTGCCTCTCTTCACTTTAGCCTTTTGGTGAGAGTGAAGTTGTTTCCAGTCATAAGAATTTGTGGCAATTGTATTTGAGAAACTAGGACCCCAGACACCACCCCTATAAAGGACTTCTTCACATACTAAGTTTCAGTCAGGAAAAGTGGGTGTGTGTCTCACATGCTCTCATTTTTTTCTGGGCAGATGTTATATTTTTGACACGTCTGAAATTCCTCAGCTTGTGGAAATCAGCTTATTTTTAAAGAGATCGTGTATGCATAAAGATTACAGAATGGTTCTAGGAATTAAAATGGAAGAGATTGGTTTTACTATTGTGCTATTTTGACAAACTTTGAGAGTTTCTACTCATAGCTTAAGTTAGCTTGCCTGATATTTCACCCTCATAGACTCTACCCATCTGTCTAAATGTACAAAGTTACTATTAATATATAGATTAGCCGTAAGGAGCTCTGTCACGCCCCGAGGACACCCCCTGGGGGACGCTGCCTTCCACCATCGCGCTTGCCTCACTGGGATGCTCCGCAGACCTCAGAATGGGAGGTGAGGGGGTTGGACTCACGCTTGCCCTCCTCCTGTGTGGCCTTCAGTTGCCAGCTCAGGCTCCCTGGCTATTCCTTCCTAGTCTGCTCCTAGAGTCTCCTTTAGACCCCTCTTTCCTTGTCAGATGTCCCTCCCCCCTCCCTTCTGCCCATGGCTGCCGCTCCTATTCATCACTAGGGGCCTTGGGCCATAGGCTTTCTGGAGCACCAACCTGGGTTCCTGTCCCACTCCCTCACCTGCCTTGCAGTGTAGGCCTGGCCCTTCCTCCCTGCAGTAGCCATGCACCTGCCTGGAGGTGGCCTACTCCCTTGACAGTAGAGCTGGCTTCCGCATGCTCTTCCCAGGGCTGTAGCATGACTGGCCTTCTGTGAGCTGCCAGAGGTGTGCACCAGATCCGGCAGACTTTATGGGCCATGCTTGTCCCACTCACCATGGTGGCTGCTGCCCTGCTAGAGCTTCTGGGATCGACCTCTGCTGACTGCATGGCTTTGCCAGGCTTAGCCAGTGTGCTTGGTCTTTCCCGGGCTCCCCTGATGGTCCTGGGAGCCTGCTGCTGGTGGGGCTCCCATGCTGGAGAGTGGGTGAGTCTTGGGCCTGGGGGGCAGTGGGGAAGCCTCTGGGTCCCTGGATGTCTAGCTGTGTGGTCGTGGGTGTTCCAGTGGTCCTGGCTCCGGACAGGCTCCTCCCTTGATAGAAAGTGATTGCTCAGGTTATTGTCTAGTCTAACTGATAAACAGCTTCCATCAAATAAGTGCAATAGCAGCCCAACTTCTAATACAGAAACAGCATTACAAAATATTAATTGTGTTTTGTATGTATAAATAGCTATCATGAAGTCATGAGGTAAATTGTGTATCACATCAGCACAGGTCCATTTTCATTTTCTCGTTTAACTCTGGGTTGTTCTGAAGCATAATCACCCAATATATTAAATATAATTGTTTCATACCTTAGGTCTCAAGCCAGGTACTGTAAACTCAGGAAGAATGTTACCTCGAAAATCAGCCCAAACACCATCTGGCAGTAAATCCATTTTATGCCCCATAATGCACTGCAACAAGAAGTTTGACAATGGATATCTTCTTCTAGGCCACCTTAAAAGGTAACATTTCTTTATGCTCCAAGTAAATGTGCCACTAGATGGGGTATCGTGTGGAGCTTCAAATGCTACATCCAAATTTCTCATAGATGAAAAACAGGAATTTTTTACTTTTGTGTATATTAAGAATTTTTCACACTGTCCTTTAGTGAACTTGGTACATATTAAATGAAGATACAGGACAGGGCTAAAGTTGCTTTTACTCTGAAGTGAAATGGGCAGTTTTCAAATGCAGAATTCATATTGTTTATTAAAACATGTCTTTATACATATGATTCCAATTAACTATCTTCTTAGGTTTGATCACTCCCCATGCAACCCAGCAGTTACACTACATGGACCTCCATCTAGTTCTTTTGCCTGTATAGTCTGTAATGGAAGATTTTCTACCTCTCAACAATATAGTGATCACTGTTTATCTAAGGTAAGAATTTGAGGATAGGAGTTATTTTAAAGAAAATGGCAAGTTCTTTCCCCTCCAAAGAATAACATTCAGAGGGAGACCCTATGTATTAACCTCTTCAGAGGTACTCTTAAGATGTAGAATTTATCTTTGATTCTTTATAGTTCACCTAGCTTAGGAGGAAAGACTGTATAGCATTTAGCATTTGAGATCATACCCCCACTGAATCATGAAGCTCACCTTGGATCTGTCAGTCATGAACAGATAAAAAATATTACAGCTATCAATGTCTGTACATATGGATTACTTGATTTTGAAAATTCCTTAGCAGTTCAGCCACTGTACTCTTTGGTTGGGATTGGAATTTCTCCTTTTTACTATGTATATGTATGCTGCAGAAGACATTTAGGAATGTGGTATTAAAAGAAAGAAAATACTAGAATTGTTTTCTCATTATCTACCTGTGAATTCTAATATTGGGAACAGTCTTCCCATAGCAGTTTGTAAAATTATCTCCAGTAATAAAAAGGTAAAGGTTCCCTTGCTCGAAAGCCAGTCGAATCCGACTCTAGGGTTGCAGTGCTCATCTCTGTTTCAAAGCCGAAGAGCCAGCGCTGTCCGAAAACGTTTCCGTGGTCATGTGGCCGGCATGACTAAACACCAAGGTGCATGGAATGCTGTTACCTTCCCACCGAAGTGGTACCTATTTATCTACTTGCAATTTCTTGCTTTCGAACTGCTAGGTTGGCAGGAGCTGGAACCAGAGACGGGAGCTCACTCCGTCATGCGGCACACGCGGGTCTCGAACTGCTGAACTACTGACCTTCCACAGCCTGCAGTTCAGCGTCTTAACCACTCGAGCCACCGCAGCTCCATCTCCAGTAATAGCAGTTAATAAACCTCCACTGTATCTACAAAAATGAGGGTTTTTTCTGTTTCCTCCCCCCCCCCCCCCCCCAGTTTCCAGGCAAATGAAAATGATGGCCATGAAAGAAATTATCCTCCTCAGCATATTCAGTTTTTTGCCTGCCCGTGCTGTTTCCTTCTTTTTAGCCTAAGAGATGAGTGCCTGCAACATATGTCTGGAGAGAATCATTTTTCTCACTGTTTTAAACTGAGTGGTATGTTTCTTCTTTTTAATATCTGGTGTGAACACACACTGCATTATTTGGTTATTTACAGAAAATCATGATGTGACTTATCTGGAGCGGGTCCTTAAAAATTTTGCCTCACACACTACCTCAGATCACTCTCCACCACACGAGGGACACCAAAAGAAGCTTGTTGTAGGATGCATCCTACAACAGCTTGGATATAAAACTCTCAAGCCTGTAGCCCAAAGCAGTACGTGTGAGGTAAAGTCAACACAAAGGTTTTTCTTGAACAATAAATAACAACTATTTAAACAAATAACTGTAACAAACTTTCAGGTAAATGAGTCATTCCTAGACTACACATGCCAAGAAACTTTATTTCATAGGTTACAGTTTCAAGTAATTTTCAGATAAACTTTACTGCTTCTTGAGTTTTCAGAATAGTATAGGGAAACTTGCACTGACCTGAAACTTAATGTAAAACCTTTAATCCCTACACTGGTGCTTATCCCTATCTCTTTCTCTCTTCTCAGGCTAAATCCTAATAGGCTGACTGCTCATCTCTAATTGCCCCTGCTCCAGTTGGCTCTTCATAGCTGAGCAACCTATCTTTTCTGTAAAAACAGGTGTCCTGACTGACTCATCAATGCCCAGACCAAACCCCTGGATCTAGGAACACGAAATTTGGGAAGTGCTCTCCTTCCATGATGTCAGTGCCCACTGTGAAGGGATTTTTAGAAATTTGACCCCTAAGGGAGTGAAAAGGGGTAAAATATGTTTTCCCAAAGGGGTAAAGCTTTGCTGTGTGCCTGGCAGGCTGCTGCCTGCTTGCACACCCCCCCCCCGCCTCTCTGATTGGTCAGATGTGGAGCTCAGCATTCTGAGGTAAAAACAAGTTGCAGGAGACTGCAGACAGTTGAAGACAGTTGGTATTCAGGGAAGTTATGTCTTCTGCACAATAACATCAGTGATTCAAGACTCCTGAATACGGGTTTCTCAAAAAAGTCGGTATGGCAATACAGTTCATTAATGTGCATGGGGAGATGGTGCAGGACCTTTCTAGGAGCCATTTCAATATGTGGCTCCCTTGTGAACCTGAAGAAGTGTCAAACACATCACCCCTCCCTCAGTCCAACTCTGCCTCACGCCTCTCACCTTTTACTGTCCCCAAGAAGGCTCCCGGATACTGTGCTGTTATATTACAAGACCAATTCAAAAAACCAAAAAGCCCGTCCTAAACCATAAAATGTATTTCTCCACAGAAGTATTATAGCTGAATTTACGGTAGTTAAATACTGTAGTGAAGGATGGGTTTTGAGCTAGTATAACTATATATGGTGCTGTTACAATGCAGTCCTAAGCAGTGTTATACCTTTGTAAGATCACTGACTTCAGTAGGTTTAGAAGTGTGCAACTCTGTTTTAGGATTACAGTAGTACTCTTGTGGTGAATGAGGCATTCATCACACATTCTTTTTCAAACTGAAAAAAATGTGGTAGTATTGTCTTAAGCAGGACTGTGAGGTGGATGCCCAAATGCAGTCTTACATAAGATAGAAGGCTCTGAAGTCTGGATGTGCTGACTCCACAACTTTTATTGCATTATTGAACTGCAGATACTTTTGCCAATCTGGTAAAGAGAGAGAGAGAGATGTCAGGAAATGAGTTGTTTTACCCCAAGGGCATTTGTTGTTTTAAATAAAATAGCTAGGACTTGCATTGTTCATTTGATGCATGTGAATTCCCTAAAATATACCTGATTGCTGTATGGGAATTTTCTGGGCACAGCCCTGATGTACTAAGTACTGCTCTACTTTCTTGTAAATAATTATCAAAGATAGAAGAATACAGGTGGTCACTTGCAAGAAACTTGTGGGAATGGCCATCCCATTCTCTCCACCTTTGCTTCCTCCTCTCTACCTTTACTTCTCTCAGTCTCTCATTTTTTTCTTCTTCCTGTCACCCCTTCTGTTATTCTCTCTCCTCCATACTAGTTGCTTCTGCCTCCACACCCCATCACTCTCCCGCTGCCCCCCCATTCCGTCACTCTCCCAGCCACCCAGCAGCTTGCCCCCACCCGCGGCAACTCTCCTTGCTGCCCTCTCATTGGCAGCTTCTCCCCCTTATGCCAGTGGTGGCAGCTCTTCCAGCCACTCGCCTGGTGGCTCTTCTGGCTGCCTGACAGCTCTGCTGCAAACACAGCAATGGTGACTCTCTGTGCCGTCCACGTCCAGCAATTGTGGCTCTCCCAGCTGCCCACCCAGCAGCTTCCCCCCACAGCAACAGTGGCAGCTTTCCCACCTGGCAGCTTCCCACCCTCAATGGTAATGGGGCTGGTGACTTCCCCACCTGTCTCCCTGCTTGCAGCATTGCAGCCTCAGTACAGGTGTGGGCAAACTTTTTTTTTTTGGTGGGGGAGATTTAAACCCAATGTATTTTCAGACTTTTCTGCAAACCTGGGGGTCCCCAAAGTTTGCAGAACCATCTGTCAGAGCTGCCATGAGCCGTTTGTTGATTATAACCATGTCAGTCCATGTGACCATGATCCATGAATTTAGATATCCATAGATTGGGCTGCACTTGGCTATTAGAATATAAGATTCATGGATTAGGCCAGGAATTTTTAACCCAAAGTGGAGCTAGACAGGTGCAGAGTTTGAGAAACTTGAAATGGAGGAAGAAATGCAAGAAAAGGGCAGTTTTGTGAGGGTGTTTGTCTGAGTCTTTGAAACTTGGTAGAGGTCCTCACAGGTGCCACAGGTGCAGAAAGTGCTTTGTGGTAGCAGGAGGGGAGAATTCCTCTGTGCTGGCATGCAGCTGGGCAAAGGAATTCCCCAAGCATTGTATTTTTTAAAAAAATATTTAGTGTAATTTTACACAAAGAACATAACTTGGAATATTAATTTGAAAAGGCTCTTTCAGTGAAATATTTTTTTTTGGGGGGGGAGTAAAATATAATACTCAGATTCAAGAATGCTTTCCCATAAGCTTAATTATTATATTAGCTACACAATTTCAAACATACACAGTTAAATAAATCAAAGTCCAACTGTAGGTTCTGATACCAATAATCATAAAAGGGTTTCCACCCATAAGCAAAATTGAGTTTTCAAATTGAGCCACCTGCCAAACTTTGTTTAAACGCATTTTAATATTTAAGTATTTTACACTACTCCGTTTGGCAGTCCCTAAGTATTGTATTCTTATAGAGCCTCCAGAGCTTGTTTTATCCTGCCTATCATTTTGGAATTCCTTTTTTCTGCTTTCTCTGGGGCATTAGCTTCTTGTTAATGTTAATATTCCATAACATACAACTTATGAAGTCTTGAGGCACATGTATAAAATAACACTGAAGCCCAGTTAAAATAAAGAACAAAACCACCTCATCTTATGGGGTCAAGATGGGCCAAATAAATTGCTCTTGCAGTTACTTCCAACAGATGCTCTGGATGTGACTGTGACTAATCTTGGGGAGAGGGGCTTCCTTTCTCTTTGGGCAGCAATCAGTGTTTAGCTACCCACACTACTCGTCCTGGCTTGATTCATGCAATTGATTTACTTTCTCACTTCAGTAATTTGAGACTGTTTGTTCTGGAGAATCTTCATGCTGTGCACCAGCTAAATGCTCATAGAAGCCTGGGGTTTGGGGATTTTTATTTTTTTTTGCAAGAATTGATTGGAAATTTACTGCATGTTGTACATGGTGCATTATGACCTTGATGCCACTGCTACATAAAATCTCTTACCTTCCTGCCTATTTGGCTTTGCAGGTAGTACAGTGGAATATTGTTTGAGGGGAGGGGTTGGGCTGATATGTGGATCTGATCTGAGGACTAGATGACCTTTGGTCATTCCAGTTTGGTGATACTGTATTTGAAGTCCATTTTATACCTCTAAGTAGACTTTTCCAGCACATGTTGTCTTTGCATTCTATTGCAGATAAAACGGGGACCCCACTTCCTTTGCCTTTTCCAGCCTATGCAAAAAATCTTCTTATCTCCTTGTGCAATGAAGTTCCATTCCAAGTAAAATGTACATCCTGCCATCAGGATTTATGTTCCCATGTGGAGCTAACAGCACATTTCAGGTTTGTGAGAGTTTTAACACTTGTAAAATCTGACTTCAGATCAATCTTTCTAAACAGCTGTTGGATATTAAGCCCAGCTTCTGTTCTTGTGTGTCCTTTGTCATTTGTTTGTCTAAACAGAACTGTGAATAGTCAACCATAATGCCGAAGTGTATTTCCACTGCTGGAAAAGCAGTAATGTGCAATGGTGTGTGTGTGTACACATGTTAAAACTTTCCTGATTAAAAATTGCTTTGTCTAAAATCAGACTGTAACAGCTTGTCCACTCTACATACAAATGATGGGTAAAAACTTTACAACTGAAGACCATACGCGTTTCGGCCCCTAAGGGCCTTCCTCAGTGGTCACTATTATCTATATATTATAGACATACATTCAAAGACCTGTTACAGAATTCTAGTATCCATATAATTAAACCAGATGTTTTTTCCTGAAATTGTTCAAAGAAAAATAAAGGGGGGGGGGGAGAGAAACAACATCATTATTTTGTCCAAATGTATAAAAGAAACCATTATTACATAAAAAATGATTCTATTAAAGATAAAGTTACCTTGTCTACTTATAATTGGACTCCTGGTATTAGTGATGGGCCATAGGTCTTTGAATGTATGTTTTAACACGTGTACACCTTAATAAATATTTGTACTTTTTCATATATATAGTGTGTGTGTTCACTTCTGCCTTTTAAAAGGCTAAGACAGCAGTCATGTACTGCTTTCAGTGCACTGAGCCAGCTGCCAGTCATGGTTTTAAAGGATTCTGACAGATGTTCTGAGATGTCTACTTCAAGAATAGGAGGCATTCTGTGGCAGAAGGGTATGGGTAGTCTTAAACTGGATTTAAAAAGTAAATTATACTGTAATACAAAGCTGGCATCAAGAATATTTACTGCTTTTGAGTGGACACTGGAACATGTTTAGAGTTACAGCTGCAAAGTCATTTTTGTTTGTTTCCTTTCCAATTACAGAACTCGTTGTCATAATGCCGGTCCAGTAGCTGTGTCAGAAAAGAATATCTCCCAAGTTGCTGAAATATTTAAAGTGAAAGGCTTCTGTCAGAGCTGCAATGAGCTGTTTGTTGATTACAACGGTGTCAGTCAGCATACTTGCAAAACCTTGCACAAGGTTAAAATTCTCACTACAATGGAACAATCAATCTTGATATTTTGCCATGCCAATAAAAATGTCTCTTACCTTAAGAAACTTGGAAGCCTTGTAAAGTCTTCTCCTCTGAAGCGATCTTTGGCCATGGATGATCAGAGTGAAACCATTTCAAAACAAAAAAGGGTTTTGGAAGACAACAGCCAAGAGACTTGTAATGCCCACACCGTGAAAACCTGGATGTGTGAATGCCATCTGACATTTCCTTCTGAAGAGTTAGTAGAAAAACATATTTTTTCTTCAAACAGAATATGCCACAAGTGTGCTGTGTGTGGGAAGCTTGCAGAAAGTACAAGCATCATCCGTTTGCACATGAGCAGGTTCCATGGAGGAGCACACTTGGCTGATTTCCTCTTCTGGTGTCAGTCCTGCAATGTAGATCTTCAGAAAGCGGATGATGTAATGGCACACGTGACTGAATTTCATGGTGGACATAACTACTTTTGTGAGAAGTATGTTAGTGAGGATGTGCATGCTTTATCTTTTGACAGACTTACAGACTCAGTCTGTGATAAATCACTTGAGATAGAAAACCAGTCTTCGACCCCTATGGAGCTGTCTCCACCTGCAAGTCCAATGGACCTGTCTGAGGAACTGTCTCACCAAGGGAAATGGCAGTGCTGCTTATGTGAGGAAGTCTTTGACTCGGAAGATACTGTGAAACAGCATTGCATGTCACTAGAGAGCCATCATTTTCACAGATACAGCTGTGCCATGTGTAAAGTTACATTTCGGAAAATAGAAACACTGCACCGACACTGCCAGGATAAGCATAATAATGTTATACAGATTAAACATTTCTGTGGATTTTGTGGTGACCTCTTTTTTGATGTCGAGGAAGAGTTTTTACTTCACTTTAAGGGTTTCCATAGCACAGATTACATATGTGTGTCTGCAGCAGCAGAAACATCAATCAAAATCTTTGAGACGATAGAAGAAAGCAGCCTTCTAAACTGTGGCTGTCGAGAGAAATACATCTCCAAAGAAAATAGAAAAGCAGATTACAAGAAGTGCCAAGAAGCCATGCTTGCAAAAGGTAACCTGTGGTTTCGCTGCACCTCATGCTCTTCAACAACACAAAGCCATTCTGACATGCTTAATCATCTTGCAGGCCACACAGTCAACAAAGCTGAAAAAGAATTGTATGTTGTGAGATGTGGAGCATGCAACAGAAATTTCAGTGAGCTTGCAGTTGCCCATCAGCACTATCATGCCAAACACTGTTTCTCACAGAAGCCCAAGTTAGACTTTGGCTCTCCAGCAGAAAGTGACGTCTTCCAGTTCTCTGCTAGTGGGTCTTGTGTAGACAAGAAGCCTGATAAACTGAAGCTTTCAGCTGCTATGACTGCACCAAGTTCAAAATCCCTTTCTCCAAGGAAGCCAGGAGCTATAAAGAAAGAAGTGCTTGGCCACTGTAAATATACTTTATTTTTATGGTTTGGATTATACTGCTGTCAAAACATAGTAATGTTGGATCCTACCATTATTTCCATTGGTGTTAAGAGGGAGGTTGGATGATCTTGCTTGATTCCTCTTCTTACTGCAGCCCCTCAACCAGGGTTTTTTTGTCCATGCAGATCTTCCTCTAATCACTAGCATATCTTTTTGGAGGGGTCAAAAGGCATGCCAGGGAAAGGGCAATTATCTACTTGCACTAGTAGAAAGCAGGAAATCAGTCCATAGAACTATATTTTGAAAGTAGTCTGGATTTCGATATCTGTAATGGAATGTGAAATATATTTTGATCTCTCCCTCCCCCCAACCTAGACGATGAAGATCTACCTGATCTAGATTACTTGTGCACCATGACGCATATTATAATGATGGATTTAGATAACTGGGGGAACCTCTTCCATCAACTGCCTGCTACTCTTAACCAGGGGACTTTTATCTGGGGCTTTCAAGGTAAGGGAAAGAATAAACTGTTCAGGCATAACAATGAAAGCTTTATAGAATAAGTAGTGCACTTTCTTAGAATCTGGCAAAATAAGAAAAATCAGATATGGCCCATGTTCTATATCATGCTTTCTTTGGCTATAAGCCAAAGTGTGTTCATCCCATTATCCCTACCACGCACTGCCGGTTCTGTGTTTCCTTTCTTCATCAGCTGCCACCTGGCTCCTTCTTGACTGCTTGTTTCTACAGGGTTGCTAGGAAACCCCCTAATGCCTGTCACAATCTCATAACATCTTTTGGGGAGGGCATCCTCAGATGATCAGGGGTCTGGAGACTGAGCCCTATGAGGAAAGGCTAAGGGCCTTGGGAATGTTTAGTTTGGAGGAGACTGAATGGGGACATGATTGCTCTCTTTAAATATTTGAAAGGCTGTCATTTTGAGGAGGGCAAAGAGCTATTCCAGTTGGCAGCAGAGGATAGAACCTGAAGCAGTGGGTTTAAATTACATGCAGAAAGGTATCAGCTGGATATTTAGGGCAAAACATTTTCACGGTCAGAGTGGTTCAGAGGTGGAATCAGCTGCCTAGGGAGGTGGTTAGCTCCCCTTCATTGACAGCTTTCAAGAAGAGGCTGGATGAATATTTATCAGAGATGCTCTAGGCTGGTCCTGCATTGGGCAGGGGGTTGGACTAGATGGTCTGTATGGCCCCTTCCAACTCTATGATTCTATTATTATCTTTGATAATTTCTCCCATGTTTGCTTTAAGTGAATCTGTATCTATCTTTAATAGTAGACTTTGATTGGGGGGGCAAATAAAGTTGCTTAGATGCTGCTTGGCCATTTCTGATTGATGTGGGAACAGTGTTCAAATTTCTACACTTATACTTTGATCTGATACACTAACAAGAAGTTTAGAGGAAGAGTTGAGTGCATCTCATTCACTGTATTAACCTTTTGTAACCTTTTTCTGATTCTTGGAAAATGTGCATAACATTTTATGGTTTTCACAGTGACATTCTCTGCTACTTCTAGCCCATCCCTTCTCCTTGTGAAACTTAAGTGACGTTTCTAACAATGTGTCCATCCTCATTTTATCATTTAGGTGGGCACGGCAACTGGAAACAACCTGTGAATTGCAAAATATTTAATTATCTTAGCAAGATTGGGTGTTTCTTCCTTCATCCACGCTGTGGTAAAAGGAGGGAAGCAGCTGACTTTGCAATCTGTGTACATGTAAGTCATCAGGCTTCTTTGACAGCCTTCTGTTTTTGCCATGCATGAATGACTGTCTGGGCAAAATCTACATACACATCCACATCTGCAGGTACCTGAGGGTGGGCCACAGCAATATCCTTTTTTCTTCCTCCATTGCGTACTTAGAGCTCAGTCCTCAGGAGAGAGGACTATCTTTTTCTACATAATAAAACCATTAGTAAATAAATTGTAGAAAACCATACATTTATACCGATGTGCTGAGAGAAAGATAAAAGATGGGGCATACTTCCATGGGGCAGTAGTGTTGGACTTAGCCTCTTGTTCTTTTTTGCCAGCTTATCTTGGCTTCCCAGGTATTTATTGCTGGCATCTATGAAAAATCCATAGTTCAAGGAACTGAACTAGACCTTCATGTAATTTCCAGCCATGCCAGTTCTTAAAATTTTATTTTAGCAAAACATAAAAAGAGACCTATAAAACCAAACAAGGTTAGCCTAATGCACATTGTTTATAAAAATATTATTAAACACATAGTATTACATGTAATATTATACACTTCTGTCTGTACATCTTCAGCTGGATTCAACTTATTCCAGTATAGCAAAAGCATCCTCCAATTCTGAACAAATAGACTTTTTTAGAATCCCCCCCAATATTCTGATATAATTGCCCTAATGCGTTGGCACTTTCCAGCTCTCCCATTGGCTGTGCTGTGCGCTCCATCAGCCTTTGGCCCATCAACCGCCAATCAAGAGTACTCGCGTGCCATTGGCTGGGTGCTGGGTCCACTCCTCTGTGCCCCGTGTGCTCCCGGGGCCAAATAAGGAATACATGGTTGGAGTCCAGGGAGAGAACAAATATATGTTTATTGCAATAATCAGGAAAATACAGGACTGGATACCTTGGCACCCAGTAACACCAAACTATATTCTGCCCCGACCAGGAAGGGCAATAGGTCTTTTATTGCTGTTTGACAGGTGTCATCAGCAAAGCATCCTTTTAGCTGGCACTTCTCTATTGGGAAACCCCTATTGGGATCCCAAGTGTCAATAATTGTGTCTGCTTATCTGATCCCAGAACAGTGGAAAACATCAAGGAACAGAGGGGCCTTCTTTTGGCATAATTCCTGGTTTATTTGTTTCAGCCTGAAACTAGGGAGTTTCCTGATAAAATGCACAAAACTTAGCTCTTAGCAGACCTTCTAGGGCCAGGTGTGCTGCTCTACACAGAAAGATATTTGTTTTGAGAACACTCAGAGTCTTTCCATCTCATAGCTTTACTTCTCAGATGTCCTTCACCTGGAGAGCTTATAATTTCAAATGTACATTCCATTCCATTATTTTCTGACTCTAAGAAAAAGACCTTTAACTATTAAAATAATACTCTAATTAATCCTGCTCTACAGCTCTTCTGTCTGGGCTAAATATTAAAATCTAAATTCACTTTAATCAGACTCCTAATAAGGCACAATGACAACTGTCATTCTACATGTCGAGAAAAATATCAAAAATCACAATCATTCACTGGTCCCTTGTCCTACACTGCCCACTGCTACCTCATCCACTGTTCCCTGTCAGAATTAACTGCCAAAACAGCTGTCTCTCCTGTCGAAGACACTTCTCCTGCTTGGCTTCTGTAAAAAGGCAAAGCCAGAGGTATGTTTTGGTCCTGATACACTGAAGCAGCCTATAGGGATGCTGGTTAGACCTAAGAAGACCTTGACTAATATAGAAATAATAGAAAAGCATTATCTTATAAAGAGATAGAATGAGACTCTCAGCAGTTGTTCTTTGTTCCTGAGGAAGGACCAGAAGTCTGAAACACTGAAAAATACCTAGGAAAAGTGTTGGGCTTTTTGTATATTTATCTTGTATATTAATTTTTTGGCTTCTGAATTTTCCTGTGATGGATTATATGGACAGATTTACTTCAGACAAAGTCTCCTTTGTAAATATTTTGCGGGAATTTTAGCACACAGTTGTGGTTTTGTTATTCTTAGTAAAAAGGCAAAGCCAGGAGGCCCTTTCCAGGCCTTTGTGGGGAGCTCATTGGGGCCAATCCTGACTAGGGTTGCCAGCTCCAGGTTGGGAAATTCCTGGAGATTTTGTGGTGGAGTCTACAAAAGCCAGGGTTTGGGGAGGGGAGAGGCCTCAGCTGAATAGAATGCCATAGAGTCCACCCTCCAAAGCAGTTATTTTCTCCTGGGGAACTGTTACTGCCATTCTCCAGGTGAGGGATGGAGATCACTCAGAATTACAACTGCTCTCTAGATGGCAGAGCTCAGTTTCCCTGGAGAAAAATGGCTGGTTTGCAGGGTGGACTATGTGTCATTATACCTTTCCTCCGCTTTCCTCCAGCTTGGGTCTCCACTGTGGAGAAAGACTGCACTTTTCCTAGGTAGTGGGGGGGGGGCCACGGGATGGAAAGCTGAAGTCAGGGGCAGATAACAGTATGTTGATGGTTGGCTGGGAAGGACATAGGGTTGCTGTGGCATGCTTGCTTATAGGGGGAAACTGTTTTTTCCTTTAAACCACCCACTGTGTATATAAACTTGGTAGTTTTCTGCTGCCACCAGGAATTAAAAATTCCAATTCTCTCTCTTTTGGTAGTATGACCCAGGGTATGGGCACTTCAGAGGACTATGTGACCCTGAGGAAGGACTGTACCAATTTGAATAAAGAACAAAATAGGTTTCTGGTTATCTTGAACTGTGTCTGGAAAAAAGAACTTGTAAATATAACTGGTAAGGTGTCACACACAGTCTCTCAGACACCAAAATTCCAAGCTGATAGACTTCTCTCATATATGTAACCACATTGGCTAAGCTCTTTGTCTTAGGCATAGAAGATAAAACATTTGTCTAACCACACAGTTTAGACACTACTTGTTTCTTTGCCATATAGACTCTCTCACAGAACTTTTAGAGTCACACAGACCCTCTTCATAGCTCTTCCACACTTCACTTTTCCAAAGATACATACACAGAACTCTCTGTCATAAAACACACACACAGATTCCTCTCAGAACATCTCCCACACTCTCAGTCACCAGCCAATCAAATCATACTCATCTCCTCCTATCGCCCTCCTTGCATTACTGCTGTCAAACTAACATTTAAAGGAAAACACACACTAAAACATGGAGTCATTACAGCTGCTAACTCCAGGTTTGGAAATTCCTGGAGATTTGAGCGGTGGAGCCTGGAGATGATGGGGTTTGAGAAAAGGTGGGACTTACAGGTACAATGCCTCCAAATCAGCCATTTCCTCCTGGGGAACCATTGCTGCCATTCTCCAGGTGAGGGCTGGAGATCACTCAGAATTAAAACTGCTCTTCAGATGGCAGAGATCAGTTCACCTGGAGAAAACAGCTGCTTTGCAGGGTAGACTGTGTCATTATGCCCTCCTGAGGTCGCTTCCGTCCTTCTTGGGTCCCCACTGTGGAGAAAAACTGTACTATTCCTAGGTAGAATCTCCAGATTGGGGGGGTGGGGAGATGGAAAGCTGAAGTCAGAAGGGCTGATAAAGTTAGGTTGATGGTTGGCTGGGAAGGAGATTGGGTTGCCAACTCCAGGTTGGGAGATTCCTGGAGATTTGAGGGGTGGAGCCTGGAGAGGGTAGGGTTTGAGGAGGCCATAGCCTCCACCCTCCAAACCAGCCATTTCCTCCTGGGGAATTATTGTTGCCGATCTCCAGGGGAGGGCTGGAGATCACTCACAATTACAACTGCTCTCCAGATGGCAGAGATCAGTTCCCTGGATAAGATAGTTGACTCTGTGTCATTATACCCTGCTGAGGTGCCCCCCCATGACGGCCAGTGTAATGTAGCAGTTAGTGCTTCAAAGCAGGGTCTGCCAGACGCAGGTTCTTCCTGTGGAAGCCGATTGGGTGATTTCAGACCACTCACAGACTTTACATACACAGAACTCTCTGTCATAAAACACACACACAGATTCCTCTCAGAACATCTCCCACACTCTCAGTCACCAGCCAATCAAATCATACTCATCTCCTCCTATCGCCCTCCTTGCATTACTGCTGTCAAACTAACATTTAAAGGAACACACACACTAAAACATGGAGTCATTACAGCTGCTAACTCCAGGTTTGGAAATTCCTGGAGATTTGAGCGGTGGAGCCTGGAGATGATGGGGTTTGAGAAAAGGTGGGACTTACAGGTACAATGCCTCCAAATCAGCCATTTCCTCCTGGGGAACCATTGCTGCCATTCTCCAGGTGAGGGCTGGAGATCACTCAGAATTAAAACTGCTCTTCAGATGGCAGAGATCAGTTCACCTGGAGAAAACAGCTGCTTTGCAGGGTAGACTGTGTCATTATGCCCTCCTGAGGTCGCTTCCGTCCTTCTTGGGTCCCCACTGTGGAGAAAAACTGTACTATTCCTAGGTAGAATCTCCAGATTGGGGGGGTGGGGAGATGGAAAGCTGAAGTCAGAAGGGCTGATAAAGTTAGGTTGATGGTTGGCTGGGAAGGAGATTGGGTTGCCAACTCCAGGTGGGGAGATTCCTGGAGATTTGAGGGGTGGAGCCTGGAGAGGGTAGGGTTTGAGGAGGCCATAGACTCCACCCTCCAAACCAGCCATTTCCTCCTGGGGAATTATTGTTGCCGATCTCCAGGGGAGGGCTGGAGATCACTCACAATTACAACTGCTCTCCAGATGGCAGAGATCAGTTCCCTGGATAAGATAGTTGACTCTGTGTCATTATACCCTGCTGAGGTGCCCCCCCATGACGGCCAGTGTAATGTAGCAGTTAGTGCTTCAAAGCAGGGTCTGCCAGACGCAGGTTCTTCCTGTGGAAGCCGATTGGGTGATTTCAGACCACTCACAGACTTTCAGCCTAACCTACCTCAGATCAAAAGAGGGAGAGGAAAATGATGTGAGCTGCTTTGGTCCCCACTGTGGAGAAATACTACTTTTCCTAGGTAGAGGCTCCAGGTGTGTGTGGGGAGATGGAAAGCTGAAGTCAGAGGGGCAGATAAAGGTACGCCGATGGTGAGCTGGGAAGGAGATAAGGTTGTCACCTCCAAGTTGGGAAATTCCTGGAGGTTTGAGGTGGAATGGGTCCTCAGACATGTACAATGCCATATCCTCCAAACCAGCCATTTCCTCCTGGGGAACCATTGTTTCCAATCTCCAGGGGAGGGCTGGAGTTTAGTCAGAATTACAACTGCTCTTCAGATGGCAGAGATCAGTTCCCCTGGAGGAAACGGTAAGCTCTGTGTCATTATACCTTGCTGAGGTCACCACAGCAAATTGATGCTGCCTGCCTAAGACCAGGACATCCGCCCAGAGCCTCTTTTTAGAGCTCATTGTATTTATTTGCACAATAGGCTTTATTCCTAGTTTGTTTATAAGTCAGTTTGTTCTTCACCATCACAAACCAAACAGCCATACCAATCTTGAAGTATTTTTTAACTGAAGAATCCTCTATCAGATGTCTTTGTTTAAACTACATACTTTTGGTTTTAGTTAATTTACACTCTGTTTCTTAGGTGGGCCGCCTGGATGAGTATCTGCCCAAGCATATTCCTTTCACCATTCTTTCTGGAGACAAAAGCTTTCTGGAGTTGGAGAACCAGCTTAAGATGACTCAACGGGCAACCCGTATTCTAGACCCTCATAAAATTGATGCTGATATGATGTGTGCCTTATTAAACAGCATTTCGGATACGGCCAAAGGTATATTTTTTAACTAAGTGGCACACACTCTTCCTCCAAAGAGCTCAGAGAAGCATAGATGATTCTCCTCCACCCATTTTATCTTCCCAGGCACTGGGAGGTAGGTTATGCTGAAAGACAGCAGCTTTCCTGGTCCAAGGGGATTTAAATCCAGGTCTCCCTATTCCAAGCCAAATGCTTTAGCCATTATACCACATTCACCCTCTTACTCTGTGTTTTGCACTCCTGGGAGGGATAAACTACTTGCCTAGGAAGACAGAGGAAGATGCCCACTTCTGAATATGTGCATTTTTGATTATGTGAGGTTGTTAGCTTGAGAATATTAAGCCTCTGTTCAAAAGGTGTGTGGTAGTCAAAACTCCACAGGAGGGGGAATTATGTGAGCTGAGATAGTCCCTAGTGAGGACAATATTTGTGTCTGTTTACAGAAACTGAAGAGGATTCTCCAGTGACTACACAACAGTGCTTGCAAGGACCACAGATTCAAGGGGGTATGTCTTAATTTCCATGTGAGATTTTTATTAATTTTCTGTGACCAAAGACCTTTTAGGTCAAACAAGGAACATTCTAAAATACTTCTTTGCTTGCTTGTTCTTACTATATGTACACATTACTGAGCAGAAAGCACATAGTGGTAACAAAACAGTAACAGCAGACAAACAAGGATAGTGCCCACAAAACAGTAGTACTAAATGATCCCTTGGTCATAAAATACTACTTATTATTGATTTCCTTATAATTGGAGAGCTGAATTTGCGAACCAGTTCATATTACTGGTGTTGCTCATGCAGTGACCTCTAAGTATGGGTTTATGACATAGACAAGATCACTAGGAGCCAGTAATGGTATGGATCAACTCTTTTGCACAGTACTCTTATGTATAGGCCCCACAACCTACATGGATGTAGCAACACATTTTATAGTGAATTCTGACAACAAATTGTGACAAACCTCCACATGGACATACTGATGCATAGCCTATATAGGTAATGTGAGCCTGCCTGCAGTACTGCATATTCCAAGGTCATCATACAGAAACTGCAGCTTGTATGAACTAGCCCTGAAAGACAATGACTTGCTCAAGTCCATCTTGTTTTGATCATAGCAGAGAGAGGATTCGAATCCAGGCATGAAGGTCTCCTAACTAGCATCAGTGGGTAGAAAGGTAGTGTCTTGTTCTAGAGTCAAGTTAAGCACAAGGACTCTTGTTGCATTTCTTATTGATCCAGATACCTACATGGTGCTTGGCACCTTAAAGTTCTTTGCACTTAGTTACTGCTCCATAATTTAGTTAATGCTCATATAGATGGTCACACTGTTAAACAAGGTCAGGTTTTCACTGAAATATTATTTTAAAACCATAAATAAATAAAATTCCGATATATTTATGCAGATGAAGATGTACAATTACAAGAGGCGATCAGACGAAGTCTTCAGGAAATATGAAGATGTCCTGAGATCAGTGCTCTACAACATCTAAGCTGCTGTCACCGTGTATTAGAAGCTTGTCAAAAATTACTGGTTAACATTTCAAGCTATAAATGGCACTTTAAACAATTGAGCTGCGTCAGATATCACTGTCTAGCATAGAATTAAGCACACTTCTAAATCCTACAGATTCCTCTTGAATTCAACTGTGCTTAACGGCATTCTAGATCTTGGTCATTGCCATTTATCACAATATAGTATAAAATGGTGCATGAGAGAGAAAATACTGTAAGAATTCCTGAACATTGCATTTTAAGGACCCGGTAGATGGCTTTCATGTTATACTCTGAAAGCTAAGATGATGATTTATTCTTATTTTCAGTGTTTTAATATCCTTTTCTGTTATATGTATATTGCTAGGAAAGCCTTGCAGCAGGTACAAGAATTGAATCCTAATTTTCTTGGACTATCCTGTCTTAGTTGATCAGTTTATAAAGCAAAGATCTGTACTTACCTTACAGTTTAGTATACAGGTAAAACTTGAGAACACTTTACTGTGGTGTAATCAAGCACTAGTTATTTCGGTTACCTTTATTTGTTCACTTTGAATTTGGGGAATGAATGCAATTGCAAAACAACTGTGTTGTCTGGCTTTTTCCTTTGTCTTGTTAATATTTCAGAGAAGTATTTTCTTCTCTTTCAACGTATGAATAGTTTTAAAATGCCTTTATGTTCAAATATTAATTCTAGCTATTTCTTAGACAAGGTGTACCATACTTGACCATAATTAAAGTGTTGATTATTTTGTGTTATGTTTCCATTTCAACCTAAGGCATTGGTGAAACTTTTCACCCTGATTTTCTCAACCAACTCTTCAACACACACACACAAATTCTACTTTTTCAAATTGGTCTAGTTATGGATTGATGAGTAGAATGCTAACCTAAAATTGCATTCCTGCACATAAAGTTGCCTTTTACTTAGTCAGACTATGGGTCTATCAAGGTCAGCATTGTCTGCTCTGATGGGTAATGGCTCTCCAAGGTCTCGCATAATGAGGGTCTTTCATTTTACTTACTACTTGATCTTTTAAGAGGAGTTGCCAGGGATTGAAGCTGAGATCTTCTGCAGCCAAACCAGATGCTCTTTCAGTGAGCCACAGTCCCTCTACTGAAACTAGGGTTGCCAGCCTTCAGGTGGGGCTTGGGGATCTCCCGCTTTTACAACTGATCTCCAGCTGACAGAGATCAGCTCCCCTGGATAAAATGGCTGCTTTGAAGGTTGGACTCTATGCCATTGTACCATGCTGAGGCCCCTCCCCAAAGTCTCCAGGTATTTTCCAACCCAGACTTAGCAACCCTGAGTGAAACAAAACATAACTTTGTTAACTTCCTCCTATATGCTCACTTCATTTCCCCTTTGATGCAGCTGGGGGTAAAAGAAATGACCCCAACAATAATGTCAGACCATAAACTGCATTAAAAAAAAGGTGCAGAGCTTTCAACACAGCAGGGCAACTGGCTACTTTTGAGTCAATTTGAGCTCACTTGATTGAAAAAGAAAAACACTTCTGTCCTAAAATACAGTGTCACGTTATTCCATCAGAGCTTTAATAATGCCTTTGCCTAAGTCTGTAAGCTGTGCTGTTCTCTAACTAGGGTCAAATAGCTCATTTTTTTTAGCATTTGCCAGCTTACATTCTCCTTCAGTGGGGGAAGGCATCCACACTGGTTAGTCCACGCCTCCTCTCACTCCAGGCAGGGCTATGCAAATTTTTGAGCATGCCCAGTAGGACAGAGCGTGGGTGTCCTTCCAGTTCGATAGCCCTGCCGCTTCAGGAGGGTCGTCAGAGCCTAGCTCCACTCTCTACTTCAGTTACAAAATAAATAAA